CGTTTCTTTGCCCGTAGCCATAGTTACTAATTGTATGTTCATAATCTTCCTCTTTTTTGCCCAATTTAGCATTAAAATCTCCTAATAGTATTTTGTGATTTGCTTTATTTGTTTCTATAGCTGTTCTTATTTCATCATAAAATATTTCTACTTCTTCATCGTCATGGCTTTTGGTCGGAGCGTACATTTGGATCACTTTCAGAGTGGTTCTTTTATTAATCCTGATGATGATGACAATGAGCCATAGCGATGAAGAAATCGAACGAAAACTTTTATAAAGATATAAGTAGAGCTATAGAAAAAGATAAAACCCACCACCTAATCTTAATGGGTGATTTTAAGGCCAAACTTACATTTAAAGAAGATATACATTTTTTTGTTGCATCATCGGCTCTATGTGATGAACACATTTTTCAAAAAGAACCAACAACGTAAGTGGACGCGAGTTAGTCCAGATGGCATAACAAAAAATGAAATTGATTTCATCATTACAAACAGAAAAAATATTGTCCAAGATGTTACAGTAATTACTAAAATCACTGTTGGGAGTGACCATCGGTTGGTTAGAGCAAAATAATTATCAACATTAGACGAGAGAGGACAGCAATGGTAACAAAGAGGCATTCTAATAAATGGAAATCGATAAAAAAAATAGATTATCAGAATCTCATAACTTCCGAACTGAAAAAAGTAGAACATCTAAATGAAAATGCATTAGATATAGATGTGACAAACATGCGAATAAATAGTGCAATTCGAAACGCTCATAGAAAATATAATGAAAAATGAAAAAACAGGATGGATCAACTCAGTCAAGCCACTAAATATCTTATACACAAAAGAAGAGAATTGAAAGACAAATACACAGATAATTTTGTAACACTTCACAAAAGAGATATCAGAACTTCATATATCACAAAATCCATTCGAAAAGATGTCAGAAATTACAAAACTAAATACATACTCTAGCCATTGATAAAAATAAAAGTTTAAAGGTTCTGCGCCGACAAATGACTGAAGGATCGAAAAATATTTATAAACTTGTAAATAAAAAAGAAGAAACTACAACAAATAAGAAAGATATTTTAAAAATTACTCAACATTTTTACTCAAAATTGTATAAGCGAGAAGAACTTCTAGATCCTGATCAAAATCAAATACCAAAAGTTCAAAATGTAAGCTCAGAAGACATCCCAGATATCACAACAGAGAAAATAAAATCAGTTTTTTTGGAGATCTCCTCTCCTCAATCCTTTAGCCCTTGTCAGGGCGTAGTGACACCCTAAATATTATTGGTCTGCTGTCTCCATTGACTGCGATCTTGTGCCATATGGACGGCTTCATGTAGGGATTTTCCCACCAAACTCTTCATTTTGGAGATAAAAAACAATAAATCACCTGGAGAAGATGGGATAGTCATTGAACAAATCAAACAAGGAGGAGGAACGTTGGTAAATGTGTTGAAAAAGATGTTTAATGCTTATACAAATATTATACCTACGCCTATGATGGTTTTAAAACTATTGTTGATATTCATTCTATTCTTTGTTTCAAGTTAAGAAAATAACATTACGCTTATGGAGATCAGTGTTGCCAAAACTCTCAGACACTCTCTTTTGCACGGATGTCCAAGATATTCCCTTTGCTTAATTTTTGAATTTTCATTTTCAATTAACATTTAACTGTAAAGTCAGAATAACTACTAAATAAAAGCCTTATTATCATTATGTAGTCAGAGAACGACATAAAATAGCTGACATTGTAGCGTTTACGCTACTGACTAGTCCAATTTAAACCCCTCAAGAAATTTTCTTATAACCCGCCTGTGATCGATTTTTAAATCCGTTAGATCGTTCTGCCACAAAAAAAAAAGTTCCTTTTTTTTTGCTGGAGATGAGGGGGAATGTAGCGTTTACGCTACTGACTAGTCCAATTTAAACCCTTCAAGAAATTTTCTTATAACCCGCCTGTGATCGATTTTTAAATCGACATTTCTCCACTCACGCGCTGTTAGCGCTTTGAAAGGAAGTTCGATTTAAAAATCGATCACAGGCGGATTATAAGAAAATTTCTTGAGGGGTTTAAATTGGACTAGTCAGTAGCGTAAACGCTACAACATACGCACATCGTATTATTTTAAGTTGCAATTAGTAATTAGATATTCGCATTCCAAGCGGTCAATATTTTCTACTGATTTCTATGATTCATGGCATATCGTATTCTCACCGAAAAACAAATAAACTGTCGTTACTATAATTAAAATAAGATAAAATAAAATTAGCTTTTGTAAATACTATTTATATAATTAAAATCATTTTCCCTACTTTTCATCTCTTGTTTCGAATGGGCACTTTTGGTCAATTACGTTAAAAAACATTAATTTAATTCATGTTTGTGGAAACAAAAATACAAATTATACAACCCTAAATTGTGCTTGTGTGTGTCGTGGCAACGCCGCGTTGCTATCGTCCATAAGAAATACATGGCCCTATCTCCGCAATGTTATTTTCTAAACGTGGAACGTAGTATAGAGCGTTTTAAATGAAAATGATAAAAAATTTGAATCGTTTTTGTATGATTTTAGTTACATTTAACTAATTAGCGTATTTACACATTATTTTAGTCTTTTTTTAAAATTTGAATTGAGCCGTTTAAAAATGAATAGAAACGTGATATCTTATTTTGACAGATCTAGAGTAATTGTTTTGTTGTTAGAACATGGCTTCAGGCAAAGTTATATCGCGAATATTATTGATGTTACTTAGAGAGCTGTATCGAAAATTTAAAAAAATCCAAGATACAAATGACGTCAAGGATTGTCCCAGAAGTAGTGGAAGTCGATATATGTAGCACAAGACCAGCAAATAACATTGATAGCTCGTAGAAATGGACTGGAATTTACAATAGGTATATCCAGAGAAATTTCTAGGCTTTAAGGACTGAATATTTCATGGCAAAGAATATCACGCAGAATAATTGCGATAAATTTGTATCGTAAAATACCGCTACGTGTTCCTAAACAAACCCATCAACACAAAATAGTAACCTTACAATGGGCTAGAGATTTGGTGCATCATGGTCCTAACTGGAATAACATGATGTTCAATGATGAGTCAAAAATATATACTTGGTATCTGATTCGCGAAGAACACTGGTTTGAAGAGCCCCAGAACGACAAACCCGACTAGAAACAGCCCAACCGCGTAACCCATTTGAAGGTGGCAGTATTATGGTTTGGGGTGGTATTATGAGTTGTACACGGACGACACTACTGGTTCTGAAGAGAACAGTCACTGGTGCTGTGTTCATCGAGAAAGTTTTAAATCCTGTCATATTTCGATTCCGATGGGCAGTAGGTGATGAATTTGTGTTTATCCATGACAACGCACCTACTCATCGAACAGCAACAGTACAAAATTGTATGGAAAAATAAGGAATATCTACATTAAAGTGGCCCTCGAATTCCCCTGACATAAACCTTATTAAATGTGCTTGGAGCATTCTCAAAACACGCATCAAGAAGCGAAACAATCCCTCAATTACACTTCGAGAACTAAAAGATGCTGGTCGTGAAGAATTCCGCAAGCCCAGCTCGACCAGTTAATCGGCAGCATACCAAATCGCCTACAGGCATGCATACAGGTTAATGAACATAATATTTAGATTTATTTGTTCTTCGTTCTGTAGCCATGACCTTTACGTACTTCTTGTATTATTTCGTCCATTATTATATTAAAGATAAGTGGGCTTAACAAGTCACCCTGGTATACACTGTGTTAGTTTTCTATTTATCTTTGCCTGTATTCGATTATAGAAGTAGATGTTTTCAAAGGTTTGTCTAATATTGATTGGTATGTTTCTTTTATACAGTAGGTGTAAGACGTCTTCGACATAGATGCGATCGAAAGCCTTTGTCAGGTCTATAAAATATAATATGCTCATTAATTGATGACCTTTTCTGTGATTTGTCCTAGTACAAATACGGCGTTTACGCAGAATCTTCCGTATCTGAATCCTAGTTGTTTATCTGACAAAGTTGTTAGTTTATAAAAATGTTGTTTGTTACAAAAATAATACTGTAATAATTTTTTTCTACTCTCTTACTAGTAAATTGTATATTACCTACTATTTGGATGCTAAGTAAATGCATCATAACAGATACTGACACGTAATGACTAGCACGTAATAAAAAAAATTACGCTTCAGTTCTATAAAAATGTGTAATATCACATACGCCTTGTAAGTCAGTTGGTCGAGTTACCATGGAAACGAATTAACAGGCGTTGTTTTGACAGGTTAAAAATTATTAATCTGTCAGTGTAAATATAGTGGTAATTTAATTTTTATTTTTATAAACAAAAATAATGGTAGAAAAAGTATAGTACACAACTTGAGTTGTAAGCTTATTACATGCTTGTAAAATTACTGCGCTCGCCGCTACGCGGCTCGCGCGCAACTTTTTTACTCGCATGTAATAAGCTTCTTACAACTCTCGTTATGTAATATACTATTATGTGAGTTTAAACGTTGAGGTCTCGCTGGACCCAACATCACCAGTTATGTGAAGATTAGATCACGTCACCAGGAAACGGTTAAACATGGAAACGCTATATTTATCATTCGGCTATTTGGGGTTTTATTATTTTCAAGGATATTTTGCAATACTTTCGTAATTTCCTCTAATAATACCACACCTTCATATTTTAACAGTTCATTTATTCTATAATTAAATTAAATGCAAAATGGGTTGTTATAAGTCGATAAACACATCATTGCGTGAATTTTTGTTTTATGTATTCAAGAAATCAGGTCGCGTTCTATATCTAAACCAATGTAATAAAACAACAAAAAGGTATTAACCTTTAATAACTCAACGTTTGTATAAGTTATATTTAAAATAATATTATTAAAATATTCAATGTTATTCTTTTACCTAACCTTTTTTGTAGTCTTCTTTTATGTCTATGTTTAAAAAATATACTCTTTTTTATGTGATCCAGACCTGATATCGCTGGCCTCCGCCCTATGGCACCCAGACCAACGCCAGCCTTGGAAGACCTAGAAGCAGCTCCTAGGAGACAGCAATCGGTGGACGCGGAAGCAATACGAATAGTCATTCATGACGTCGACTCCGGAACATCGGCTGCAGCTCAAAAAAGGGTAGTCTTAAGAAGAGATCCATCAGATAAAGCACATAGAAGTGAGTATTTTTTATGATGATATTTTAACAATTCTATATGCATGTTCTAGATTCGCCAAAACCTGTAAAAGATATAAGTACCAGTTCTCTGAATTATTTTAACTTAGCAGTAGTACTGCGCCCTTGGATGCATTCATATAACAACTCACCATTCTACTATTATTATCTAATATAATTTTTGTTTATATATGGTTTATACTGGGTCAAAAGATAACTCCAGAGTATAGCTGTAGACAACTACAACTTTGAGAACGTGAAAAATTACACATAAAATGATATTAGATAAAGACATAAAAAGGCCAATATGAATCGCAAATAGAAGATATACAGGATTGTCAAACACAACAGAACACAATGTAAAATTTATAACATACTGATCAGACCAGTCCCAACATAAAGACACTAGAAACATGGTCATTGCCAAAGGCGACAGACAGAATGTCGCCTCAACTCTATTCAGATGGTTGGATGCTTACTGTTCAATTACAAATTAACCCCTTAATTTGTAATCTCACATTATATTTAACTTCTTAATCTTTTATATTTTCACCGTGTATAAGTGACATTGTAAAACCATATCGAATAATATTGTAATAATTAGTTCATTTACCGTCAACTAAATAAATTGCCGAATAATATATTTTCTAATTAAACTTCCTAAGTGTCGCAATTAAGGCGTAGATTAAATTGTATTAAAAGCAAAGTTTGTTCGTATGGTATGATACCATAGAAAGCAATGACCTATGTGCTTAGGTATGAATTATTTGTGAGATTATAAATTGAGGATTTGAGCTCATATGAACACAGTCAATCATAAGTAGTTACCTAACGAATATCATATTGTGTAATTACCAATTGCTATCAATAAATCAACACCTTACTTCACAACTTCAACTTTTTATTATACCTATCAACGTCGATCGACAAGAAGCGGACAAAGGGGTATTTACAAACCGATTAGAACCTCAAATACCACGTTCGAATCTTTCCACTTACACTAGTACCATAAACAAAACTTTTCATGTGTTTTTTTGTAGAGTGTTTTAATCTGCTGTCTTTTTAATGTTTTTTTGGGAGTTTTCGAAGTTTTATAACTTTTGAGGAAAAAATATGTATTTTTTGACCAACAAGAATTGCGTTTCGTAGTGGTACTTTTTAAATCTTAACCATAGCTCTAAAGATGGCCTTGCTAAAAGAAAGTCTTTAGCATATAAAATTGTAGATTGATTTTTAAAAATAAAATTTTATGTTTAAAATGTTAAATTTACAACAATAACAATGCCGTCACAAACTTTGTGCCATTTTTGGACCGATGTCTTCTTATTCAACTATCCGGAAAGCCAGTAAATATTAACATCATTCAAACTTATGCCCCTACGGCCGATAAACCCATAGACGAGCTAGAAGCGTGGTATGCTGACGTAGAAAAACTTATAAAGATGACCAAAAAAGACCTAACATTTATCTTAGGTGACTTTAATGCTAAGTTAGGTAGAGGAAAAGTTTTTGGATTGATCGGAGACTTCGAACTTGGAGCAAGGAACGACAGGGGAGAGAGAATGACCGAATTCTGCCAACAACACAACATGGTAGCGACAAATACATGATTTAAATTACACAATCGCAGATTGTACACTTGGACTTCACCACAATACAATGAAAACAGAGTAATCCGTAACCAAATAGATTACATATTGGTCAACAAAAGATAACACAATGCAATCATCAGTGCAAAAATATTACCTGGAACTGACATCAATTCCGATCATAATCCGGTTGTTGCAAAAGTTCGCACAAGATGGAAACTAATACAAAGAAGAAACAAAAACCTCTACACCAACTATTACACATCCAATTATTGAAAAACGACACCATACATCAGACAGTAAATAAAGAATTAAACAAAAATTTAGGAAATATCGACCACAATAGAATTATCGAGTACGATGACATAAACGTTCTGTGGAAAACTATTAAAGAACAAATTAACAATGTAACGGAAAAACATCTGAAAGTATTACCTAGAAATAACAAACAGGAATGGATGACAGAAGAGATTTTACAATTATTGAACAAACGAAGAGAATCTAAAGGAAAAAATGACAAGGACGGAGAATACAAAAGACTAAATAGAATAATCCAAAAAAAATAACCGAAGCAAAAGAGAAATGGCTGGAAACAAAATGCGTTGAAATAGAAGAACTGTAACAAATGCACGATTTTTTTAATTTACATAAAAAGGTAAAAGAGTTTACATCGATTACCAAGAGAACGACTTTTCACACCATGCTGAACACGGATGGCAAACTGCTAGAATCAACGGAAGATAAACTAAAAGAATGGGAAAACTATATTAAAATTCTTTTTCACGACATACAAGAAAAAAAAAGATTGGAAAATAACAACAAAGGGGCAACAATTCTGAAATCTGAAATCATAAATGCAATTAATCATCTCAAAATAAATAAAAGCCCAGGTCCAGACGGAATATACCCAGAAACGTTAAAATTAATCAGCGAAGAAAATATAGAAATATTTGTCCTTCTATTCAATCGCATTTATGATGTAACGACAATATTTTGCCTACCACAGGGGGGCATTAATACCTACCACAGGGGGATAGAAAATTGGGGGAAGAAACTATTGGGGTGGAGATAAGGCAAGCAAAATAATCGCTACTTGTGCGAACGGCACTCAGGGTTTGGTAGAAGAGCTGGGGTCGTGGATAAGTAAAAGATACGGCGGGTGGAATAAGGCAACTACAAAAAAATGAAATACAGGGGCCATTATACCTATTTCAACTACTAGTTGTAACTAGGAAAATAATTAGAAAAACATTAAAACATATATTTTTCAAATAAGACTCACAAAAAGGGTTAGTTCAAAAAAGAAATAAAATGTTAGAAAACAAAATTCAACATTTATTTTTGTGTCACCACAAACAGTTACAAAATGGAGAAATACAAAATACAAAAACTTACGTGTCATCCGCTTACAAACTCCAGGGGTTGGTGATACTACATAATCTTACAAATTTACATGGAGGTTAACCTTGTTTAAAAATAAAACAAACTATAACAGTCAAAAAAATAATAAAAAACGAGCTGTCATAAGTTAACATTAAATTTCAAAAAAACTAAACACACAAATTGACAGCTCAACTCAAAACCTAAAATTTACAATTTTAAATGTAACAATTTTTAAATTTCAACGAAAGCAATTATTATTTCATAAAAAAATTGTCTGTTTTACTTTAAATCTTGAACACAAAAAAAACAGTTACCTTGATTTTCACTTAACAAAAAACACTTGTCACATCTCTGTAGTATTGACATCATCAGCGAAAACATCCATTGGGGGCTGGAACAGGATCAGGAACTAGACTTTTTAAACATCTTAAAATCTTCAAAAAAAAAACGAAACAGTGGTCACTCTTCCTAAGATGACATATTACATCGAGCGAAAACTTTATCAATTTTGGCAAATTATGCCGGTCACTTCATGACGGATAAAATTTCACGACTACTGCTACTTATTTCCACGAAATTGACCAAATAAACAGAAGGACACAAATTCGATGGAGAATCTGTGCATCCATACCTCCTAACACAACGAAGGTCCGAGTATGAATCAATATCCACACCTCACTCTGCGAAGGCCCGAGTATGAATGACGAATTTAAAAATTCGATCTTAAATTGAAAATAAGACAAACGCTGACATAACAAAACACAACGAAATTAGAACGTAAATATCCTTTTGCAACGTATTTGAAATTATAACGCAGCTTCCAATGAACATTAAAACAAATTGCCGAGAAAGTTAAAATAAACAACTCTAAAATGGTTTACATTAACCTCCAGCAATGCTAAGACAACTATGCGTATTTCAAACTCGAAAGATACGAACTAACAAACACGGTAAAAATTCCTCGTTTTATTTTTTAAACATATATAAGGCGATTTCCATATATTTCACTATGAGAAACGAGATGAGCTCTGTTCAGTTTACTTGTTCTCGCCCAAAAATGCTACGACCAACAGAAAGATATATTTATATGCTTTATAGACTTCGAAAAAGCATTTGATAGAGTAAGACACGACCTACTATTAGAACGTTTGCAAGAAGTCGGTTTAGATGGAAAAGACATAAAATTCTTAAAAAACTTGTACTGGAACCAAAACGCCAGAGTTAGAATCGAAGGTTCCACATCCGCAGAAGTAAAAATTAGGAAGGGAGTTAGACCAGGATGTGTTCTGTCGCCTCTGCTGTTTAATCTTTACTCCGAGTTTCTATTTAAAGAAGCATTGGAGGATTCCAAGGATGGAGTCAATGTGAATGGCGTAAATATCAACTGTATCAGATACGCCGATGATACAGTGTTAATTGCGGATTCCGACTTAGGTCTACAACGACTCATCGATAAGAACAACTCGACCTGTGAGCAATTTGGTATGAAAATAAACATTAAAAAAAACCAAAGTGATGTCAATCCGAAAAAACCAAAACGTACCTCAACCTTGCACAATAAATGGGCACATTTTAGAACAGGTCAATAGATTTAAGTACCTGGGATGTTGGATCGATAGCAGCCTAAATCCTGATCTAGAAATAAGATCGAGAATAGAACAGGCCAGAAAATCCTTCGAAAAAATAAAAAAATGCTTTGTGATTCTCGAATAAAACTCGAAATTCGACTACGTTTATCAAAATGCTACGTCTGGTCGACTCTTCTATATGCAGTTAAAACGTGGACCCTTAAAACATCAATCGTAAATAAATTGGAGGCCTTTGAAATGTGAATCTACCGGAGAGTACTCAAAATTTCATTGACATCGCATACCTCAAACGAAGTAGTGCTGCATAGAATAGGCAAGGAAAGAGAACCTTTTAACACAGTCAAAGTTAGAAAAACATCATACCTAGGCCACATACTGAGAAATAATAAGTACCAATATGTCCAACTTATAGTGAAAGGAAAAATCGAGGGAAAGAGAGGCCTAGGAAGGAAAAAACTATCGTGGCTCAAAAACATCCGACAATGGACAGGGTTAAATTTTAAACAGCTAATAAGAACAGCTGAAGATAGAGAAGAGTTTAAAATTGTAGTAGCCAACCTCCATTGTGGAAACGGCACTTTTAGAAGAAGAAGAAACAATAATTTTTAAAAGATAAA